TATTTGTTTTTTAGATGTTTATAATCATAAAATAATTGCTTTTAATATTTATTTTTATTGTTATTTGTTAAGTTTAAAAATATGGAACCTTACATCTTGCTTAGATTATTCTATTATTTTACGTTATTTTTATAATATTATATCAAGTTGTACAAGTACTTGTAAAACTCTTCGGTGGGACGTCTGCCGTCCAATACTGGCCCTGTATCGCCAATAAGAAATAGTACAGAGTTTATGCAATGATGACGTTTTAATAGACGGATACGAAAAATGACATCACCACGCTGAATAAACCGTAAAAAAAAAGGAAATCAGATATCATACTATAAGTATACTATACTATATTATTATTTATTATTCTATACTAGTTGAGATTAAATGGCACGGATTTCATAGTTAAATTTACCAAATCTATTATCTAATTAATTATTTTGTAAACACTACTTGTTCGATACGTGAACGTTTAGTAATAATTTGCACTTGCAACGAACCGACCGATCAGTAAGATTTGCGTGTGTATTGGAGTTATAGCCCAGCTAGTATTGGTTAGGTTAACCTAGTGGTTCTCAACCGTGGATATATTTAAATAGTGATGACTTATTATGATACATTTTGTTGTTAAAATAATCATTCCTCTTTACAATCTGTAAAATAAAAAATATAAATTAATTTTACATAATATTTAAATATAGACATTTTAGGTTGTAGTTTACTTTTATTTTAATTGTATCATTTGTATCAGTAAAAAATAAAAAAAGGTCGTGGGAGTGGGATAATGGTAAGAATAACTTTAGTCGAAACAAATAAATGAGAACCACGAGGTTTTGGGAATAATACGAGTTACGAGCTTAAGTAATTTATGTAGGTAGGTACTTTGAACTGAGTGTTCACTGACCAGCATCAACTTGTGGATTTTATATATATGTATATATACATATTATAGTGCATTGTTTAGGCAGCATAGGTATTATATAAACCAATACAATATGCACATATGAATATATACAAAATTTATAGTAGACTGTATGAACTGTGTTGATGATATATATGGCAATATTGCGTAATAATAATATACGTTGTGAGGACGGGCCAACACAGACCCATATTCATAAATTGTATATATTTTTAATTAATTTTACCTAATTGCTCTTCATTATGTATATTTTGTATTTTATGTTCATTTCGATTGATAAGTATCAATATTTTTTTGTTTTTAACATATTATTTAAATTTGAATAATTATTAACGAATGGTGATTTATTAAAACGATATAAGCTTTGTAAATATTTAAGGTCCCCTGAAAATTAAATTTTGAAGGGTACTACCTATAGTATTCCATGTTTTTAATTTCGTTTGTTATTCATTCCATAGTCCATATCAATACTTCAACAATCTGGTAGCATAGAGGTATTAGATAGACCAATACAATGCACAACAATAATACATAAAAAATGCACAGTATAGGTTATATGAACCGTCAGTGATAGATATGGCTTTATTGCATAGTAATAATATACGCTTTCGCGGTTTGTGCCCACGATAAACTTTATAGATAATTTACAAAACTGTTGTACTTCGCACACTCGTTTATGGCAAAATATAAAAATCAATAATTAGGTAACAATATGCCAACATATTATAATGATTTCCATTCGATTTGAGTTAACATAATATTAGACGATGCGATGCGATTCGCGTCGATGACGAGTCGTACAGTACTGTCCTTATATTACTAAAATAAAATTCACATAATAACATATAATTGTGCCCATGAATATTAGGTATGAACATTTTTGATAAAAATAAAATGATTCACAACAACAGAATAGATATTGTTTGTGCGTGGGTGTGTCGTGTGTCTGTGTGAGTTTTCTACCCAGATTCGTCTTTATCGACAAGTATACCTTTGTGTTGGACCACACAGTACGTTTCAATCCGATTCCAAATTCCAACTAATGATAGGCGTCCGGTGAAAAGAGCACGTATCTTAAGAAATATAAAATTATATAAAATATTATATTAGCCATTAGGTATATTTCACTTAATGCAAAAAAAAAAACCAGTCTACTAACATAAGAAATTAGAGTGAACATTTGTGGGTACCTACAGCTATATTATAATGCTTTCAAAGAATTAATTTGAACATTAAACAAAATTATCACCATGAATTGAAATATTGTTTGATAGATTGATACTCATTGATATTACAGCAAACATGTCTTATGCACCGGCGGTGCATGGTAATTATGTCGTGACCGCGAGGGTAATTATTATTTTGGACTTTATAAATTATATTATTCGGCGCGAACACCACCTTTAGACTAATTAGACCATAGTGTTTAATACTATTATATCAGTCGATATGTATATTTTTAAAAAGTACAATTTTAAACCAAACTTTCAGTGCAGGCGTGACAAAAAAATATTTACAGGTTAATCAGTGGTGATCAAACTCAATGCATTTTTTTTATAAATATTCCAAATTACCATGTCTATTCTATCTTTAAATAGCTTTATAGGCTTTATTATACCCACTAATCAATATATTATTATACCTACATCAATTGTGATTATATCTTTTTTTACCAATGTCGGATCTATTATATATTATTTTAAATTATTATTATTTATTTTATGATCGAAGAAAAAATTCCGTTCAAACCCTTAATTTATTATTTGAAGTCCAGCCCGGCCCAGCCCGAAAAATTGTACAAAAAAAATCCCGGACCAACTCTTTATTTTATTTTAAAGGCCCCTCCCAGTACAATGTTACTAAGGACAAGGCTTTTTAAGGACTGGGTAGGGCTGTTCCGGCCCTTGCAATTCTTCAATAGCCACACAAACACACATATATTATATATATGTATACTTGATATGTCATTTTGAAAATTGTTCGCTGACACGATAAAATAACTGACAATTGTTATTATGTATTCAAAGTTTACACAAACAATACCAACTATAGTGTTAAGTGTTATACAGTAGGGATTAGCCCTAATGCCTGACTAAGATTTAGCCTCCACTAAAATATTCTTTTTTTAGATTTAGGTAGCCTATTTTAAATTTATAGTTTCGTTAGTTGGGCTGTACCCCGCCAGAATTTTAACAATAGTTGCGCCTGTGATGTTATACAATTTTTTATTGTTGTTAAATTACTAATAATTATGATAATACAATTGATATTTTATTTAAATGCAAATAATCATGTTCACCTATGAACATTAGTATTTATTTTTTGTTATTAATAAGTGAACATGCATTCTATCTTACTATCTTAATAATAACGTTTTACATTTTTCTGTATCATGATAAAAAAAAAATATTTTTTATCTTTATCTGTATCTAGATATTTTTCGGTTATCTGAGCTCAACGCTGCTTTCATTTAATACGTAGAAAATTACATAATTATCATGGTATAATAATATAATATGTCCTACAAAATATGATATAACGGCTTAGCGAGGTTGTGAATTTGAGATTAATCCACCGGTCTTGTGCCAACTTTGAACTTGGCGGCCGCGGAAAAACGCAGCACTGGCCGCTGGATACATTTTGCTACCCTTTCCAACTGAACACCGAGTCACCCCACCCCTGACGACGGCCTGCCCTTAATACCGTTATGCGCATCGGTCGTCCGCCCGCCACGCCACCAACCGACCGGTTCGGTAACTAATATCATATACCTGGTCGCACATCAAAACCGCGGTAGGCGTTCAGTAGCGGTAGTGCATCGACAGCAGCCGAAACGGTTTTCCCGGAGAGAAGTTTCCTGAACACATACCTAGACAGTATAGTCTCTCTGCTTCAAGTCGACCACAGAGTTTTTCATATACACACCATGTAAGTTTTTCCCGACTAAAATTTATTATACGGTTCCGAGTGTTTCTATTTGCATGTAAACTCGTATCTCCGCGACTAACCGAGACATTTATTTTTTACTATATTATATTAGATATTATAGTATAAAATATTTAATTTCCCTGTCACGTATTGAAGGAAATTCTAGATTTTTCATAATACCTATCATATAGCACCTGTTATTCGATATAAATTCCAATACGACACAGAACATTATAGTACTTTGTATCTGTAAATTAAAGTTTATTCTTCAATCGTTTTTTAACTGTGTCATAAAAACAAAATTTTGTTTAATATTTTCTTTTTCCCTAAATTTTTAGACAAGTAGGTACTTACAATAATTGTATTAAATTATTTTATTATTATTAATAAGTATTTTAATAATAACCACTATAGTATAATATATCAAAATATTTTTTAGAATTAGGTAACTATAAAACGTTTCTGGATGTTTGAATTTTTACTTTAAGGGGGTTCGAAGCGGTGATTTAATAAGGGGTCGTCTATAGGCAATTCGATGTCTTATAGTCGTTTCGCAGTGTGTTTGTGTGCGAAGTAAATGATCATTAGTGTGCGTAGATACGTTCGGAATCAGTGATTCGCACGCACATGAACATGTTACATAATAAAATATTTGTTCCAACGAGAAACTGATTTCAATCAATTGAGACCTAAAAGCCTGACAAAAATACGATAACTTAGAATGATCGGATTTTAGTTCTGTAAACATATTTGAATTCATCGTTCTTTTTTCTAGGTTATTGTGGGAGTTGATTTTTGAATGACTGTTTAACTTTTTAAAGAAAGACACAAACAATTTTCGAAAAATTGAGAAATCGAAATATGATTTAACGTGAATTCTAAAAAAAATATCGAAAATTGATTCCCACAATAACCTAGGAAAATTGTCAATGAACTCGAATCTTTTTACAAAATTGAAATCTGATAATTCTAAGTAGGCGTATTTTTGTCAGGCTTTTAGGTCTAAATCATGAAATAAATACGCTGCTTCGAATCCCCCCTACGTTCAACATTTTATTATAATAAAAATTAATTATTATATAAATGTAATAATTGACAATTTTTTTTTTGTTTTATTATCCATAGTATCCATACAAAATTACCTACTACAATTACAAAGATGTCTCACATTATGATCATTTTCAAGTCGATGTTGGCAATCGCCGTTATTTTCAGTGTAGTGTTTGCAGCTCCCAATCCAGACTCATCCGAACAGAGTACCGTGAGTACCTTATGTTTTAATAATATTCGTATGTATTATTTTTTTATTTAATATAATATTTTTAGACTCGTGTTGTGATCGATTTCGACACGGACGTTTATTTAAAGGAATGTACATTACACAAAATAACTAAAAATAAAAACTGGGATTGGACTTTTTTTTTAATAGGAAGTTAGAATTTAATTTTAAAATGTACAAACAATTTCCAATTTAAAATACTCATAACTCATACATTGTATTTGTAAAGATTTCTTAATCAAGGCTCACGTGTTATAGTCGCGTCATAATAGCAGTCTTTGTTATTGCGCTCAATTTATCATTACACTTCGTCGTACTCAAGTAAATCCACTTGGTGGATACTTATTACATAATTATAAATATATACAATCACATTCAACCGTACTTGATATTTATAAAATATAAATCGCTTTGTATGATTTTTCTCACACAATTCTCACACATTCGACCAATTGACATGTAGTGTTCAGAAATTTACATCTGCCTAACCAATCACTAATTGACAATATTTCTGCACAATATTGCTTTACGGTTATTTTTAGTATTTTTGGTGCACTTTATTCATTTTTGTACTTTTTTGTACATTTATTTGCATTTTTCTTGTTGAAAGTTACTATTTATCGTAACACATTCAGTTTCCATTAGCTTGTCGATTATCGAATATCGACGTCCATTATTTTTATTGTTTGTTGTAGCAAACTGCGATTATTTAAGAAAATGTAGGCCACTACTATTTTAGACACTTTCAATTAGAAAAAATTTCCCAAAAATCCATCGAATTATTTCAAACAGCAACAAAAAAATATTTTTGAAAGGTCCTTTTTAAATAGATAGAACCTATAATAAATACGATTTATGACCCATGATTCGTATACAATTTAAGACTTCGATTTTTAAAAATGTTAAGTCATTATAAAGTAATTTTGGGTATTTCTGTTGTCAATTTTTGATGTTAATAAGTCATTTTAAAATATTTTTGTGTGCATTTTTTAAAGATATTTAGGTCATCAAGTTCCGGGCCATACTTATTACATAATAATAAATATATACACTCACATTCAAAAACACTAGATGTTTATAAATCGTTTTGTATGGTTTTTTTCATACAATTCTCACACATTCGACAAATTGATATATTATATAGTGTTGAGAAATTTACATTCGCCTAACCAATCACTAATTTTACCTACCAATGCGCTGCACAATGGCAACAATAATAATATTATATTAATAATAAATAGTTTATAAATAGAACTAGTTAGTAGGGTGTAAAATTGAGGCTGTTGGTGTGAACCTTGTTTCTACATAATTAATAATAATAATAATAATAATATGATATAGTATTATGTACACACATTTCTTTTAACAGGGGATTTAAATCAGATAACGCAGTAATGTGTCTTCGTCTTTTAAGTATATATTTCTATTGAGTAATTTTAGTTTGCACTCAAAACATTTCCGGTTTATAGATTATGCTTTGTACAATTTAGACATATTATGAGGCAAGTTCAATTACAACTGATATAATTTGTTGAAAACAAACGATAATTTAAGTATAAAATATATATTAATTATTATTTATTTAATACTATATGGCTTAACGTAATACATATTATATATATATATATATATATATATATATATATGATTATTAAAAATATTTTAATTTACAGGTAACTGATGAACCCGGATCGTCCATTATAGAGGACAATGACTATGTGTCTCCGACTACGTCGATCGGAGATTTCGACGAAGATGCTTCTCTGGCTGACAGCAATGATAGCGATGTGGCTTCCGCCGACGACAACGGCCTAAGAAGCGGATACGATTCGGAGAGCATCATTAAAGTCAGCGAATTACCATCCACCGGAATGCTGACGAAAAAAGCTATAGTGGTATTCCAGATATTCGACAAGATTATCGAAGTGAGTTTACCTATTTATTGTACTGAATCAGGTGATAGCTGGATATTTTTTAAGAGTGTGTTTTAATTATATATTTAAATATAATGTGGGGGGGGGTGCGCTTTACACACTCTTCATTGTAGTCTTAAATCTTTATATTAATTATATCAAATGACAATTAATATGAAATAGAACCATATGACCAATATATTTTGTAGAAATCTGAATCATATTGTAAAATTTTTGCATAAGTGCGGTCGATGGGGATGTTTTAACTTCTGAAATACCACACTGGCTAAGCTACTTACTAGGTACGGAACCATGATTCGAAGTGGCTTTTAAATTGATCTACACGTAGTCCAGGCCCTATTATTTGTAAAATTTCGGACTGCACATTTCATTTTATTCTCGCTACCATCTTAGCAAAAGGAATGTATTACATAATACATATTACATATATAATATATATATTATATACCATATGTATACAATAATTTAACAATGCAATTCAATAAAACAACAAAATACTTATCTTTTAATAAAATCATAAAAATTAAATAGCATAATATAATAATAAAAACTTTAACTTAACTTTTTAATAATTTATTTTAGTTATTATTTAGAAAAAAAACCAAAATAGTTATTTATGTTTATTAAAATTGTTAATTATTACTTTACTTGTTGACATTGTTATTACTTTTGAATTTAATTAATATTATTTTTCTTATTTGTATTAATAATATTCAATTTTCAAATGGGAAATGGACAATAGTTGAGTAACCAAGTTTAAATTGTATAAATGTATAATATATATTTTAATACATGATTTTATACCGTATACAATGTGTATAATACGGCATAATACGGTATAATACAAAAAATTATTATACCCTACTTAAATACAACAATATTATACAAAGTTTAATACACGTATAATACAAGGTATAATACGGTATAATACAAAAATAAAATAATATACCGTATTTTAACAACACTACCTATATGTGATGCACATTAGAACAGTACGCCTGCTTGTACCTGTATAATATAATATTTTATCAAGCTACACACATCGGTTGATTGAACTGTATTTTTTAATGTTTAGATTCCAATTAATGTATTGCGGTATATCAATGTATACTTAAACCAGAAACTAATGTATCGAGGACAACCTGCAGGTATACGTTTACAATAATAAAAGTCATACATTCATAATTATGTTTTGTACATTACGCTCTCGTATGTATGATTCTTATTAATCGATAGGATATACTATAATAATAAGTCAAATAATAATGATTATTTGTTTCTTTTTCGATGTTATAGGAGAGGCTGTCAGTTCCGACGGGCCTGCTGGATCCTCCTGGAACGGAACAGCCGGTGCTTCAGTGATGGTACCGACACAATCAAATTACGATGCCATATTCAACGTACGTTAACTTGGTTCTAACAATATAATATAATAATTATAACTGAACTCGACTTGGTTTAAACGTTTAAAAACAGTATAGTAATTACTGTAAACGTATAAAACTACAATAATACACTTACGGTGATGGTGATGGAATCAATTTGTTACTGAAATTGTTATGTCATCATCATTCTCATACATCATATTCTCATATCAGTATACCATGAATATTATACTATAATAATAATAATAATAATAATATCCTACTTGTCGTTGTTATCGTTATTATTATCTTTATAAAATATCTTCCTCTGAGACAAATTTCACTTGGAATAATTTCGTTAATATTTTTAGATTCCGATCACAGCAATGAGGTCGGTCCAGAACCTGTTCAACTGGGTGGTTGAAAAGCTGTGTAAGAACCGTGGTATATGTAACAGCGGTGCCCACTGAAGAACCCGCTCAACAATGCACCGACACAACACACACATAATATTTTACTCTTCATCGTTAAAAAATTTTGTAAATTGTAATATCCTTATAATAGCGTGCAACGTTCTGTCTATGTGTAGGTTTGTACCTGTGTGTGTATGTACCATTTTTATATTTGTAATTTTTTTTTTAAATTTTTTTTTTACCACATAAGTATGTAGGTACATGTGTGTATACACTACGTGGAGTGATTTTTTTGAAACTTCAGCCTCCTGGCTAACACATTACCAGACTTGTATTTTGTTAAATAGACCACTCCATATGATATATTATATACCTACATATATTTGTATAGTATATAACATACCATTGTATTAGTTTAAAAATAATATTGATTGTTCTTTATGTACACTATTGTGAGGTACTGTGAAATATTATTAATGTAATTTAGAATAGTTTTACGTAAGCGCGTGTATATTTCGTAGCATGTACCTACAGCCGCTTAAATTTTGTATTCGATTTTTTTTTTATTAATATTTTTCTCTATACATTGAATAAAAATATGGTTTTGATTTATACATATATGGTTTTTATAATATCATACTACTACCTATTATAATAGTTATGGTGACCTTATTATATTAATACAAATGTCTAGGACCGGCGCAAGGCTAAATAAGCCTCAGGCCAAAATGCCAACTGGCGACTTTTTCATAAAACAACCCATTGTATACCATGATACCTACTCAAAAACTAACACATAAATACGAAGACATTTTATATTATGCTCAACTTGTACGTTATTTTTTTATAGTCTAATAAAATTAAATAACATATTATGACGAAATATAACGCAATAGGCAGGCAATAGACGCATATAATAAATACCTACTTAGTACTGACACGATGATTGTTTCAATAGGTCGATCGTGGTCCGGTCGAAGTGTTTGGTTAGGATTTAGGTGATGAAAAAAACACAACACAGACACTTTAAGAATGTCACAAATTATATGTATTGTAATATTATTACCACCAAAATATAATATACATGACGTGCCGCCCGGGCAAAAGAGTTTAACGTCGGACGATATGTTATCGGTCCTACGGTGAATCTCGCCTTTTCCGCAGACCTTTGTGTGACACAGCCATTAAGTGCTCGGTGGAAGAGTCAACCCAATCGAGCTGCACTTTTTAGGTTTTTGGGTTTTGGTGTAACTTTCAGACAAATGACTTTTGATTTCTGTAATAAAATTTAAATAATCGTAAATATACACAAAATAAATATTTTTAGATTCTGAGCGGAGCAAGGAAGCTAGTGGTTTTACAATGGTGTTTATTTTTTATTTTTTTTATATCCTGTATACAAAATTTCTACCAGAAGAAGTGCTTTGATTTCAACATATAGTACCTTATCTTTTAGCAAATTGGACCAAGATGGTACTTTAGACAGGTCATTTTTCGATTTTCTCAATAGTTATTTAATGCCACGGGAAAAAGTACTGAAAAATTACGAAAAACCGCTTAAAATGGGATTTTAATTTCTAACAATTTGTTTATCACCGTAGCAACGAATAACAAAAAAATAGGTAGGTATTATCTATATAAATATCATAAATTATTAACATGTATCATTAACTTATGAGTCAGTACCGACTTATCATAGAACCGCGGGTGATTAGGTTCATGGTAGGAAATAGTATAAAATTAATCTAAATATTTTAAAAATGTCATTGTATAAAAAGGCAGGTAAGTGGATGTTGTAGTATAGTATTAAAACAACTTACATGTTATAATAATTAATGACAATATAAAATATATAGACTGACAAACCGTCTCCGTTCAGAATCGTTTTTCTTATACAATGATATTATATCATTGAATTCAAGTTTAATACAATCCATTAAACAATGACCAACTTGTAACCTACTGTACAGCTGAGCGACATCCACTTACCTGCCTTTTTTTTTTTCTTATTATTGTTAATTTCAACGACGCGAATATAATATTAATATAAAATATCAAAATGTGTGCTAAAAAGTAACAATGTTTCAGAACATTTGCTAAAATAATAATAAATATGCTTTGAAAACAAAACAGTTCGAATTCTGGAAATACATGCATCATAACAATTATTTTACGTTCGTATGCTATAAAGGGTACAAAAAAATGTCTACTCACCTGTCCTGTAATTTTTTATTGTTAAAGGAAAATAATATGCAAATGCCGCATAAACACTAATAAGTACCTACCTAATAACTAACAATAGGTGGGTAATAACTAATAATTATTATTTTTATTCAGGCACGTAGCTAGGATTAAATAATTAGGGTCACACAGTCATGGCCAATATTTTTCTTGAGTGGCCCAAATTTTTACTTGCGACTTTATAATTATAATTAATATAGATGCATTGTTGTCGTCGTTAATACAACGAATACGACGAGTATGTATGAATTTCTATTCTGAGTTCTGGTATCTGGTAATCTGACCACTATGGACACTATGAACACTATGTTCGGAAACACAACTATGGTTTATTATTGCTCTTCCCTATTTCCATTTTTATTTTTACAAATCCCACATGCTCCGATTTCCGAATCTCGGGTGAGGGTTGGCGACCTTACCACTAAAGTTTTCGTCAACGTACCCTCCATGCCGAATCTGGGTAGGCCACCCTGTGAGACGTTAAAATAGTGATACTTATCGGTTACAGTAAAAAAAAATAAGACTTTCGAATAATTATTTGATTTATAAATAAATATAAAAATGTATACCTATATCGCTATAATAATGAGCCATTAATGTTTAGGAAAAACATAAAATGGAAAGTAAGTACCTTATTAAATTTCTTAAGTTTTAACAACATTTATAAATGACACGGCTACACTGTAATAAACATCTAATTGATGGGTGGGTGAATGAAAGGTATATTTATTTTAATAATAAATTATAGCAAAGAATAATAATTAATTTATTGCCAAGAAAAGCATAGAAACCTCGGCGCAACAAAAAGGGTCACCTTAAAAAAAACAAACTACATAATAATAATAAACCAACTGCATTATGGCAGGGTACTAGCACGGCACCTATGTTCATGGGCCACCTCTCCCTGGCATGCCACCCAAAATATTTACAGGCCACCCCGTAGGCCACCCCATTACATTTAAATATTGTTGAAATACCCAAGGCTCGAATAGTTGGGTAAAAAAATTAAACATATTTTAAAATTTCTATTATCATATTTGTTATTCTTTTGGTAGGCCGGTCGTTGTTGTGGGTGCGTGTTGATGCACTCGGCACAAACGCACAACTTAATAGTTTAAATAAACGAAATCAACAAACGGAAAACACGAACGTGGTGGTTGTGTAAATGCCGGGTGGCGTTTATTTAACGTGAACGGTAAATAGTTATAATATAAAACACCGTGATCGGGTGAATGCATGTATTTTACAAATATCAAGTACAAAAAGAAAAACGGATACGATGGATCGCGTGGGTTAGGTACGAGATCAGATCGTGACGGTGGTCGAAGAACGAGAGAGAGCCGGCGGCCGGTACTCGTCCTACGCGCCTTGCCTCCCCGTCCCGCCTTGCCTTTGCGGCGTGGTGGGAGAGTTGGCGGTGTCGCGCTTGTAGCCCGTGGTGGCGGTTTGTGAAGTGCAGATAGGTAGCTCCGACGCCTATACTTTGTACTGGTCGTCGGTTGCGTACCGTATCATAAATATACACTAGATTCTTCACCCAAAACAAAAAAAATTAAAATTAAAATTAATTTGTGTATTATTTTTTATTACTATAGAATTTTTTTATAAACTAATTATATATGCATTTTATCTTTTTGTTGTTTTGTATTATTTTTATTGTTCAAAAGATCTAACTCTGGACGTGGCAACATACATTTGACCATGACTTATTACAGGTTGGGGTAAATACAACACTACTTGCTAATATGTTTGACCCTGTGATTTGTTTATCGTATTTGAAAAATGCACATCGTAAATTGACGTCTACTATATGAAAAGGGAAGAGTAGAATCTGACGGGGTCAAATCAATTCTAGGCAATACAATACGCTCAAAAGTTCATTGACCAGTTATGGATTCCAAGTCTAAAGCATGGTCGTACACATTTCGTACAATAAATCTTGTACCATTTATTGGATAAGACGCTACATTAAAATTTCCCAAGATTATTACAATAGTTCCTCGTAAAAAAAAATCACTAAAATCGGTCCAGTAGAATTTCATAAAATATAGCCGTCCAAAGAAATCGCATATCGTTTCACATTTTAATAATATATGAAAAAAAAAATTTTTTCCCGTTCAGGTATATGGGACTCAATTAGTATATTTATATACTGGTAGTAGCGTTTTGAAGACCACAATAGTCTATACATCTATTATACCGTCGTCGAGTACGTCATATTATCATGTGCAGCCTGACGAACGCGATTTACTCGTCTTTATTAATTATTTCAACGAAACCATATGAATAACAATATAGAACGGACAAACGTAGGTGGGTAACCCTGGCACCCCAATGTTCGAATTTTTCATTTTTTTTTTAACCATTAATTGTACTATAATTTGTACCAATTTATAAAAACAATTTAAGTATTTGTACCTAAATATTTCCAAAAGAAAAGTCAAATTTTCCGCTGGGGTGCCAGGGTAACGTTACCCCAGCACCACCATAACTGAATAATGCATATTATAAACATTTTTTTTTTCTATTAATTGTACTGTTGCAATAGATGAGGCTAGGACCACATAATAATATAATATGATTACTACAGTATTACGCGTGGTGTACGTGGCACAATATATTAATTACTATTAACGAGTGTCACAAGGAAAAGTTAGTTTCTAAAGTACTAGAGGAGCCATAGCGAATACTTAAGTGGGACCTTGTAAAAGACCATGTAATCTGACTGCTGTCTACTATATAAAGGCTCCCCAGCAGGGAGACCGGACACACTATTTCTGCGTGACGACTAGTTGACAGTATTCATGCTAGAGATA